TTGCAGCGTAAGAGACTTAAGATAGACATCAAAATAAGGTACTAACATGTGGGAAGGGTTGCCTGAAGAGAGTGAAGAATCTTTCAACTGGAGATTTTTAGGGCCAGGTTAGACAAATATCTCACAGAAGTTGTATTCGTATAAATTAACTATGTATATGGACAGAGGGACTACATAAGCTTCAGATATCACTCATGACCCTGTATTCCATAATTAAGTGTTGAAGACTGAAAGCTTAACCACAGAGGGTTTTTAGGCATTTACTGAAGGAAGGAGGAGGATAGATCTGATAAGCTCAGAGGGATCCCAGTTGCCAAGGGGATACGTAATAACATAGCATCAAGAAAAGAGTCTGCCCAAGCCCACCAACGCAAGAGTCTGAAGAGCAAATCTAACAGATTCCTTCTAGTCTGTCTATGGCGTGAGCTCCTCTATTTTGAATTCTTTCAAGAAGCCTGCTATTACTCACACATGCACACATACATAGACACAGGCACGCACCGATGGTATAATAGAACAGTGACATGGTGTGTTCTAATCTATTTTAATTAGAAAAAAAACTATTACAAAATTGCCTGCAGTGTGGCATTAGTGCATGTAAATTAAGATTTATTACTATTGTCAAAAGAAAGGCTCAGAAGACTTGTTTGGTGCCAGGAGCTATTTTTTATTCTTTGTTTTCTAATATAAACATCAATTTGAATCTAAACAATATTCAAATATTAATTTCTAATGTAATTTTAGATTTAAAAGCAATCAAAAAAATCACTACTCGACAAGAGTAATTTCAAGATGAACTCTCAAACCATTCAAAATCATCCTCACTAACTATACATTTTTTTAAATGGTCTTTACCTAACCCCTCAGAACTATGAATAAAAATGCAGGGTTAGGAGAATTGCAAACTTGGAATTTTTATTTTATTTAATAATTTGTGCTATCCTTAGTTCAGAGTAAAAATACTATTGTCAGAGTTTGTTAAGGTGGTTCTTTTTTGGTGTGTGGGTTTAAAAGGTGCCCTACACCATTTGTAACCATATTGTTAAGCTGGTACTTAAGAAAAAGTGAAATAACTAATCCATTATAATTGTCAAAGACAAATGCATTATATAAAGGATCTGTGTGAATAAGAGCAGCAAATTAGATTTCTGCAGTTCTGTCTTTATTTTAGTGCTAGTAGAATAGCAGTGGTCTTACTAGTGGTATTAATTTTGTGCTGCTTACAGTGAGCAGTCACACTGCAGAGCTTGATAAGCTGTACACATGCAGAACTGAAATAACAGCGATTTAAACTTTACACAGATTTCAACTACAACACAGAAGTCAAGAAACCTTAAATATGTTCCCTGAACTTATGTGAAATGGGAATTACAGACAGATAAGGAGAATCCATGTAGAGTTATTTTGGCCTCCCCTTTCTGTATTCCTTGAACACAACCACCTAGAAATTGCTACCATAACATTTCCTTTAATAGGAAGGGTCAAAAGACAAGTCCAACATTCTGAAATCAAATTTTGTGGAACGAAGCCAAGAGTGTCCAGAACCCTCTGAAGTGAAAAGCTGCATCTTATCAGACCTGGTCCAGTTGTACAAAACAAAATGTCTACTTTCAGTCAGCCAGTATCTCCACATATAATACACAGTATGACAGTTATATGGGACAGTGTAAGTAAGTACAAACAGCATTATTTCATCTAAACAAATCCAGTTAACCAGTCAGTAGAGTTCAGATTCTAGCTTCAATTCTGAAACCAGAATTTGTCTGTCTGATAAAATTTACAGACCTTACCCCATCTCCCCCCAGCTCTTTATGTGAATTGCAACATATATATCAGTAAAAGACACAGCACTTAGTAATTAATCCAATAAGTACATTTATTTGCTCTAATATTTGCTCTCAATTATTAGGTCAGGATTGTAAATTCTTTTACCTATTTGCATTTTTGGATTACAACAAGCAAAGCAGGCTAAAAAAACATTTAAGTTTCATGTCAAAAAACAAATTAATTTCAGCAATTTCTTAGTTAAATCTCAAATATTCAAGTTCCTCTTGAATATTCTACTCAATATTATTGAATAACAAATTCCTCTGTGTAACAAACAAAATGGGAAAGGCAGCCTACAGCAATCTGACTTCACATTGTGGCAGTCACAAATGACCTGTAAGGCAAGATGCATTTCGGTTCCCAACACAGGCTGAGTTTTTCAGCAAAAAGCTCAAAGCTTTACAAATAATAAATCATAGTTTTAGTTTCGAATGTATTTTCATTTCTTTAGAAAGTGCTATTTCCTATACATCCTTTTAGAAGGGTGGCAACAATCCCCTCAGCAATCAGTGAAGACATGCAAAAAACCCTGCTTTTCCACTTCCCTGACTTGTTTTTGTTACAAAGCCCTCAAGTGAAACAAATATATCAGTAGAGGAAGGGGTTTTTTGGCAAGTAAGTATTCCTTATATGTAGTAAGAGTTTAAGGAATGATTAACAGAAAGGGAACCTCATGTTGAATTGCAACAAGAAAATCAGAAAGGCTGTATTTCTACTC